TGCAAACTCTTTGAAGGCAAGGGGCATAAGTAAGCTAAGATAAATTCAAAACTGCACACTGAAACCAAGTGTGGTGGGGCACTGTCATCAGTAAGAGGTTATTCTCAGCTACATAGCAAACACAAGCCAAACTCAGCATAGCTGAGACCCTGCCTCAAAAAAACAAACACAAATAGCTGGGCATAGTGGGACAGGCCTTTAACCACAGCACTTGGCAGGCTAACCTGTATGAGTTTGAGGGCAACCTGGTCTACATACTGAGTTCTGAGACAGCCAGAGCTACATAGTGGGTAACTATTTTGAAAAAAACAAAAAACAAACAAACAAAAAAAAACCCAAACACAAACAAAATAAAACAAAATCCTGAAAATGGAACGCAAGCATTTATTTAGATGTTGTCTTAGCTAAGGTTCCATTGCTGTGAAGAGACACTATGACCAAAGCAACTCTTATAAAGGACAACATTTACTTGGGGCTAGCTTACAGGTTCAGAGGTTCAGAGGTTCAGTCCTCTATCACCAAGGTGGGAAGCATGGCGGCCTCCAGGCAGACATGGTGCAGGAGGAGCTAAGAGTTCTACATCTTATTCCTCAGGCAGCTAGGAGGAAGCTCTCAAAGCCCGCCCCCACAGTGACACACTTCCTCCAAAAAGGTCATACCTACTTCAACAAGGTCATATCTCCAAACAGTGCCAGTCCCTGGGCCAAGCACATTCAAACCACCACATACTTTATTTAGAAACATCATTAAATTATTACTAATGTCAGATGCACATATAGCCCCAGCTGTTTGGGAAACAGAGACATGAAGATCGCTTGAGCACAAAAGTTTAGGGCCAGCCTGCTCAACACATTAAGATCTTATCTCTTTAAATATTATTATTACAGGCTTGAGAGATGGCTCTGTGGTTAAGAGCAATGGCTGCTCTTCCAGAGGACTCAGGTTCAATTCCCAGCACCCACACAGCAGCTCACAACTGTCTGTTATCCTGCTTCCAAGGGATCCAATTCCCTCTTTAGCCTCTAAGGGCACCCAGCACACAAGTGGTATACATCTGTACATGCAGGGAAAAAACATCCATATACATAAAAACAAACAAATAGAAAATATAGCTGGGTGGTGGTGGCGGCATATGTCTTTAATCCTAGTACTTGGGAGGCAGAGACAGGTGGATCTCTGAATTCCATACCAGCCTTGTCTATAAAGGGAGTTCCAGAAAAGCCAGGGCTATACAAAGAAACCCCATTTCAAAAAAAAAAAAAAAAAAAAAAGGACACACACAATAAATAAATGCACAAACAGTAAAACACAAATACCACTCACTGAGCATTTGTTACATCAAGTTTGAAGTTTATTAACTAATTGAATCCTTAGTAGTCAGGTAGGTAACAATGTCCATTCACTGAGGAATAAACTGACTCACCAGAATTTAAGGAATTTCAGTTTTGTCAGCTATGAAGTGGCAGAGCCAGGATTCAGGTTCAGGCAGAGCCTGTGCCATACTGCCTCTCAGACCACAACAGCAAAGTTCCCAAGGAAAACACAGCACAAAGAGATCACAAATGCCAGCATACGAGTACAAGATGAAAAGCAGACAAGTTAGCGCTTGACTTAGATGGAGAATTCTGAGCATCCCAGAGGTCAGGCACCTGCAGAACAACCTCCTACTCTAAGCATTAGGAACACTTGACTCCTCTGCATGTATGTCATGAGGCGGGGCCCGGAACAGGCAGTACTGGTCCTCTCTACCACGAAAGCAACTGCTCTGTCACTGCCCTAACAAAACACAGGTGGTGTGCACTTTGAACAGGGTGAACTCCTTGACTCCAGGCTTGGGTAACTAGGGCATTACTGAATACAAAGAAGATTCATTGATTCTGAATACATCCTGAGAGGACAAGTCCTTTATTTTATAGCCATGGTTCTCACAATGTGGTCCTAGAGGAAGACAGCATCACTGGTGAACTCGATGGGACTCATGCCAAACCTATGAATCAGAAATCCCCGGGTGAGCGATAATGAACACGGCCACCAGGTGAGTCTCGTATCTGAAGTCTTGCAACAATTACCCTAATAAGGGGGCAACTAGTTACCAAACCACCCTATGCCAAAAACCTCTAACCAGTTCTTTAGAGCCTGCTTATTTGAAAAACAGTCTGGACTCACCTGAAGTTTGAGGAAAGAGTAAACTTTGAGAAACCAAGACAGATGTTGCAGAGCAGCTTTTTTGAGTAGTAACTGTGTGCTGGGCCTTTCTATGGCTCCTATGTCCAGAGTTCTCTTTTATACTTTATAGAAGGGGGTTTGAGAACCAGTGAAAGAAACGTTATCTATAGTCATGTCTAGCTCTAGCCTATGCTTGTACACAGTCCTCATGACCCTGACCCAACACTAGCAAAGTAACTGAGACTTGCACTCTCAGTCAGAATGATGTCTGAATGATACAATTGTTCCTTTGCCTGAACGGAAAACATTTCATGGGGAAAAAAAATCATACAAGCAATTTCTGTTGTAGGTTTGGTAGAAATTCAGCATTTCTGTTGAATGTAGAGGCAAACTGTACTGCTTTATGGAAGTAAGTATCTGTCACCACACTCTGTCTACCACATTGGTTCTTTCTCTGGCTCATCTTTGCAGCCTGACTCTTAAAACACACACACACACACACACACACAAACCCTATCTCTTTATCTGTGTCTGTTTGTGTAGTTTTGTGTGTGTGCACAGGTGACACAGCACACCTATGGAGGGCAGAGGGCAATTTTCAGGAGTCAGTGCTCGTCTTCCACACTGTGGGTCCCAGGGATTGAACTCAGGTCATCAGGCTTGGCAAGTGCCTTTACCCACTCAGGTTATCACCAGCACATAGCCTAAATCCTAACCCAAAACTTGCTTCTGATTACTGCCTTTCACTAGTCTCTACTCATCCCAAATGTCACGGCCACAATTAAATCATTCTGCTTCCAAATCTCTACTGGCCTTGCTATCTTCTGCATCCTTTAATCCAGCTTAATTTTCTTAATCCTCTTGGTTTTCCTGTCTCATCTGAGAAGATCCGCCCTTCTCAGACCATTCCACTATTCTAATAGAGAACCATTTCTCTCAGGATTGATGAAAAAGTTAACATAGGTGATATACAAAGAATACCAACTATCTAATCCTCACCAATAGTGAGAGTTAAGAATCATCTTTAAGCTGAGTGGTGGTGGCTCACACTCTGATTCAAAAAGCCAAAAACAAACAAAAAACAAAAACAACTTTATTTTCACATTTCAAAATTTAAGCTCAGAGAGATTAAGTCATGTGCCCAAGGTTACAGCTAGTATGATCTGTCTCCAAAGCCAGTCTCAGGTTGTTTTGCTTTTTAAAGTTCCAAACCATTAACCATCCTACCTTTTTTTTTTTTTTTAAAGAGTCAGGGTTTCTCTGTGTAAAGCTGGCTGTCCTGGAACTCACTCTGTAGACCAGGCTGACCACGAGATCCGCTTACCTCTGCCTCCCCAGTGCTGGGATTAAAAGCATGTGCTACCAACTGCCCAGTAACCACCCTACTCCTACCAGTCTGACTCGAATATATGGAGAAGTAATGCGTCTTTAAGTGAGTAGAAAATAAAGTTTAAGAGGTGTCTGTGTTTTTCTGTTGTTTTGAAACAGGAAGAGGGAGTGTCACGCATAGACAGTAAGAGCCTTCCAGGCAAGGTCCAACAGGAAAAACCACAGGCAGGCAGTATCTCCCCACCTGGAGGGATCCACCTGGTTCAGCAGGGCACCCAAGGGGGGACTGGCCCTTGACACCAGACCAGAATGCTGAATGGGAACAGGTGGAGAATATATCTCTCATATTTCTCTCCCCAAGCAGTCCTTTAGCCTGGCCTCCAGGACCTTTTAAGGTGGTGACAGTAGATTGTTTTCCGGCATGGATCAGAGTAGCCACATCAAAAGATTTCCAGATCCGATTCTAAAAGCGCCAAGGGCAAGCAATGACTCCTGAAGAGAAGGCTTAGTTAGCATTTACAACAGCACAGCCAACTTCAAGGAATGACTTTATGACAAGATAGGATGTTTTAGTGGTACCCATCGGAATGTGGAGTCAGCCACCGCCCCTTCCTCCACGGACTGGCTGTAAGAATATTTTCTCTTGTCTGTATGACAGAAAAGGAGGCGGATATCCCAATGTCTCCTGCTCTTAGGGCGTCAGAGGCACACCTCTCAATCTTTCCTTCCAATGGCTGAACGGCTGTCCCCTTTACTCTCCCAACTTGGCCTCAATCCCCTTCTGAGCTTGGCACCTCTGTCTACTACTCTGTTCCCCTGTAACCTTTCTCCACCCACAGTCGGCTGGACCACTCTTCCCCTGTCCACCACCCTTTTCTTCCCGCTCAGTCCCTTTCCCCTCATCCAGCCACCGCCCAGACCATGGTACCTTGAGCGTCACGTCGCATAGCTTGCCCTGCCGCCGGATCTCCTCCATGACGCCGTAGCCGCGACTAGGCAACTCCGACACGGAGAAATGCACCAAGTCCTCCAGCTCCTCCGCACCGTCCTCCACCATCTTCCCCGGCCACCGCAACTGCGCAGGCCTGGCCGGCAGGCTTCACACTAACCAGGGCGGGGCAAGGGCGCACGCTGACGGCAGCCCGGAACGCGAAGCCGGAATCTCTCTGGCCTGAGCGGCCACCGTACTCACAAAGTCCTCTACACCGGAAGTCTCACTGCCCCGCTTCCTGATTCATACATAGTCTTCTTTTCTCTGCAACCTAAACCCCGGCTTCGCATATATAGAAACTCTAAGCCTTCCAGGTTAATTGACTTCATTTCTGTCTTCTTTGTTCATCCCTGACTTTTACTGTACCTTTAACGGAGAAATGTGGACTTAAATTCCGCTACCACCCTACACTACTTCCGTAATCCCGGCAGGCTTCCCGTTGCCATGGCGACTGTGTACACAGCCGGTCGGCTAGCTGTCCCGCTTGCGTACAGAGCTCCCTCAAGTTGCTGCAGTTATAGCGGTCGCTCTACCCGAGCGCCGCTGCCTCGCGAGGTGAGCAGTGGTCACGAGCCGGTGGCGTTAGGTAAAAGGGAAACCTGGTGGGGATATCACCCCCGGCTGTTGTCAGTGGCTGGGTCCCTAACTCCTTTGGCTCTTTTATTTGTAAAAAAAGACCCGAGGCACCCCTGGAGAGCGTGTTACCGCTGTGCTCATTTCAGCCTGGTCTCAGCTTAAGGGAGCTAGGAGTTTTTGATGTTCCTTAGTCACGAGTCTCCACCGGGGTCCCGCGACTCGCCTTAGACAGAGAGGGCTTGAGGTTGAGAGTCAGGTCATTAAGACAAAGTGTCATCACTTAAAGCTTTTGAGCAATGGAAGAGAAAAACCCTCTAGAGGGGGACGGGAATGGAACCAAGGCTGTCCATCACACACATTTTAGAAAAACATTCACCACACACTGGGTGAGAAAAAGGAGAGTGGCCAATTTTGCTTGGATGCCAATATTGGGTTCATTTGATGCTGTGATACAATAGGACCCTGTGTTGTGGCTTTAGAGGGTGTTATGTCCTAGACAGTCTTTGTCTCTGATAGAGGTAAGAGCATGGTAGATATGGACTCCTAGTGCCTGTCAGTAATGCATACCACTGACTTCAAGTCAAGCCTTCATGGGTGTTAGTGTATATCCTGTGTATATCCTGCTTATTCCCAAGCCCAAAACAAATGAAGAAACACTGGATCTCTCAGCACAGCAGTCACCTGATAGCTCCTCAGAGACACTTTATTATGTACGAAGTATGTAAGGATTGTGTTCAGAAGACTGGGGTTATTCCACCCAAAGTCCTGAGGCGAAAAACCACTACTTAATGGGAGGGTGTGTTGAGACTGAACATGGTAGCTTCTTGTACTGGGAAATCAAATATCCTCTCCAGAACGCTCCAAGTTCAGGGGTTAGAGTAGTGTGTTGTGGCGGGGGGGGGGGGGAGTGACAGATCACATACCTTGGAACTCTCTCAGTAGTGGCTGAAGATGGACCCACCTATGGAGATTCAGTCACCCTCTGACTTCCAGCCATGAGTATCACCATCAACTACCATTTCTTGAGCACCTGGTGTGTGCTGGGCGCTGTTCTGGACCTTGTGGGGGGAATCACAAGAGATAAAGGACAGCATCCTTGTCCTCAAGCAGCTTGTAATTTGATTTGGGAGCTGAAGCCCACATAAATGAAGCGACATAAGAACGGTAACAAGCAGTGTCTCAGTAAGTGCGAAATGGCATGCACTGTTGACTAGTGGACTCGTGAGAGGAGTATAAACCATTGGAAAGGCTAGTCGCCGGCTGCGTATGACTCCTGGAGTGCTCGGCAGCATGAGCTTCTAGAGGACCTTGGAAAGGATGGATGGGGGGCTGCATGTGCATGTGCATGTTGGAAGTTTTAGAGCAGAAACGGGGGAAAGTTCTGGAACAGTCTTTGAGCTGGTCTGTGAACCTGCTTCTAGAACTCTCTGGATTGTTTGAAATTCCTTCTAGATGTTATACTTTTGGTACTGGAACATTCCTGGTCAGGAAGATAAGACTCTTGGGGTTTGGGTTCAGAAAGATTTCCCAGAACTGTAGAGATTGAGTATTGAGTAAAAAGCGCAGCTCTCATCTGGAGGTACAATCCCCAACACTTGGGAAGCTAAGGCAAGAGAATTGTGAGTTCTAGGCCAGCCTGGGCTATGCAATGACACCCTATCTCAAGAAAAACATTTTTAAAAAATCATGAACAGCCGGGCAGTGGTGGCACACGCCTTTAATCCCAGCACTTTGGAGGCAGAGGCAGGCAGAGTTCGAGAGTTCGAGGCCAGCCTGATCTACAGAGTGAGTTCCAGGACAGCCAGGGCTACACAGAGAAACCCTGTCTCGAAAAAACAAACCAAAAAAAAAAAAATCATGAACAAACCACTTCTCTCTACTCTCAATTTCTCAGCAACATAAGCTAAAGTGAATTTGGAACTGAAACCTTCAGTCTCCTTAGTTTGGGGTCCATGTTAGAGCCCCGTGTGATTTTTTTTCCCTAGAGCTCAATTTTGCAGACAAAAAAAAAAAATGTTCAATCAGACTATGTTCTTTTCTTACCCCAATATTTTTTCAGATTAATTTTCCCAAAATAAAAAATTGTGAAAGATCCAAGGGTGCTAGAAAAAGTCTTATATGAAACAGTGACTCGAACGTAGGACTCCTCACTCTGTGCTGGGCAAAGGCAGGGGCACGTGCTTGTTTTGACAGCTGAAGCACTGATGATGGGTAACACTTTCATCTTATCCACATCACTGAAACTGTAAGCTGGAAGGGCAGCACCTGCTTCTGTGGGCTGCATAACACCATGGCGGTGATGGCTAATGTGTTTGTAAGAGGAAATGATCCCAAGTTTCGTCTAGACGTGGGAAAGCCATCACTGCTTTTAAAATCTAGAATAGTTTTTGTTAGGCAGCACCACTGCCGCTCTATTAAGAGAAGTACATGTAAAATGTTACTATTGTTTATTTAATATGCTTTTAATATTATAGTTCATTTCAGTGTGTGTATGTGTGTGTTTGTGTGTGTGTGGTGTGTGTGTATGTGTGTGTGTGTGTGGTGTGTGTGTATGTGTGTGTGTGTGTGGTGTGTGTGTAGTCTGTGTGCACCCATGTGTGCCAAAGTGCATGTGTGAACACCAGAGGATAATTTAGGGGAACTGGGTCTCTTTTTTGACCATGTAGATCCTGGGGATCAAACTCAGGTCAACAAGCTTTGTGGCAGGTGCCTTTACTAGTGCCACCTTGTTGACCCTCAAAAGCCTATTTGTTTGACATAGGGTCTCACTATGTAGCCTTGGCTGGCCTGAAGCTGGATACATAGACCAAACTCATAGGTCCACCTGCCCATGCCTTCAGAGTGCTAAGATTAGATGCATGCACCACCACACTTGGCCCCTCATGATTTTAATAAATATTAGAAGTTCTGTGTCACATGCGAATATTTTTCTGTAGAAGTATTAAAAATTACTAAACATCCCTTCAGTATGTTAGAAGATTGAATGAACTTCCTTTGTCTGGCATTTCACTTTTCATAAATTCTGCCAATTCTTTTGCAGATGTATGCTCGCTGTACCACCCCACCTCCCCCCGCCCCCATCACCTCGTGTCCATACCCTCTCATCTGTCTACCTTCCCTCCTACTCCTTCCCTGTCTCCTCCTCTAAAAGTAGAGGTTACTTTAGGGTCAGATGCTTTATTCCTTTTTAAACTGGCCCAACCCTGATGGGGCAATTTAAAGGGAAATGTTCAGTGCAGCCTACATCCTGCTCTGTGGACCTTTCCTGTATTTAAATTTTGTTTGTACATAGTACAATAGTAGTTCCAAAAAGCCAAGTGGTGGTGGCACACATCTTTAGTCCCAACACTTGGGAGGCAGAGGCAGGCAGATCTCTGAGTTCTAGGCCAGCCTGAACTATGAAGTGAATTTCAGGACAGCCAGGGCTACACAGAGAAACTCTGTCTTTGAAAAAGAAAAAATAATTCCAAATGGGCTTTTCTTCTTTGAGACAGGGCCTTGTTTATCCCAGACTGGCCTTGAATTCTTTGTGTAGCTGAGAATGATCTTGAACTTCTGATCTTCATGCCTCTACCTCGAAACTACAGGGATTTTGGGCAGGCATAGCACTGCCACCACACCTGGCTCTCAGGGAGGGCCCATCTTAGGACTCTGAGGTGTCTCATGGGTAAAGTCCTTGCGGATTCAAGCATGAGGAACCGAGTTTGGATTCCCAGCTCCCACATAAAAGCTGCTTATGCCATAACAGAGACAGGTGCATCTCTGTGGGCTTTCTAGACACCAAGTATAGCCAAAATGGTGACAGTAACAGACCCTGTTTCAAAACATAAGATCAATGGGGTAGATGTCCCATTTCCACTTTTAGCCTCTACATGCACTCACAGGTGAGTGTACACACACACACACACACACACACACACACACACCATGCTTCATCTTAAAACTCTACTATGCTACTTTGATAACAATGAAGGATTTTTTAGTGTGTGTGTCTGTGCGTGCGATTTTTTTTTAAGACATAGTTTCTCTCTGTGGCCCTGGCTGTCATAGAACTAAGTCTGTAGACCAGGCTGACCTCAAACTCACAGAGATCCTCTTGACTCTGCCTCCAAGTCATGCGCCGCTGCCACTGCGCCCCCCACCCCACTCCACCCCACCCCATATTTAGCATATTTTCATCGGCTTTTATTGATTTTTTTTACATGTAATTTAGCCAGATTTAACAAAATCAATGATTATTACAAGTAGATTTTACTTCTCTTTCTTTAAAGCTCTTGGGATTTTTGTGTCCTTGAACATCACTGTGCATCATGAGACACTTGAAAAAGGGATCAAGTTTTCAGTCCCCCTTAAAGTCATAAAATTCAAAAATCGAATTTTATGACTTTAAGTGCACCACAGGATATATCTGTAATACAGACCTTGAGAAGGAGACAGGAGCATACGGAGTTAAAGGCCAGCCTTGGGCCCATGAGATGACTCATGAGTAAAGGCACTTACTGGCCTTGCAAACGTAATGACTCGAGTTTCCTCCCTGGAACCCATGTAAAAGTGGAAAGAAAGAACTGACCCCACAAATTTGATTTTTGGGTTTTTTTTTTTTTTTTTTTTTGGTTTGGTTTTTCAAGACAGGGTTTCTCTGTGTAGCCCTGGCTGTCCTGGAACTCACTCTGTAGACCAGGCTGGCCTCGAACTCAGAAATCCACCTGCCTCTGCCTCCCAAATGCTACAAATTTGTTTTTAAAAGGCCAGCATGAGATATATAAGCCCTGATCTCAAAAGTAAACACAATTAGTTGGATTATCAATTCTGTTTAACCAGTTCTTTGCTTCTCCAGTATCGAGGGTCAATGCAGCAATCCCATTGGCAAGATCTCTTTTAACCAGCATTCGACTTTGCTTGATCTTTAGTGTCTGTGACTTCGAGGTCTTTTCTGTTATGAGAATGGTCCTTCATGTTAGAAAGTTCGAAGCTAAGCTTGCCTCCCGGTCACTTCTGCTCTGTTCTTTTACAGCGTGTCCATCCCACAAAGCCTCACCAGCGTGTTTTAGTGTTTAATGCTATATGAATGAGTAACGAATATATGTGTGGCTCCCTGTTTTGATGGGACTAGAGAGATGGCGCCACAGTTAAGAGCACTGGCTGTTCTTTCAGAGGACCTAGGTTCAATTCACAGCTCTCACAGGGTGGCTCACAACTGTGTTTAACTCCAGTTCCAGAGGATCCAGTACCCTTTTCTGGTCACTGTGGGCACTGCTCATATGTTGTACGCAGACATTTGTGTAGGAAAAATACCCATACACATAAAGTAAAAACAAAAACAAAAAAATCTTTTTTTTTTTTTTTTGGTTTTTTGAGACAGGGTTTCTCTGTGTAGCTGTCCTGTTTTCTCTGTCTGGCTGTCCTGGAACTCACTCTGTAGACCAGGCTGGCCTTGAACTCAGAAATCTGCCTGCCTCTGCCTCCCAAGTGCTGGGATTAAAGGCGTGTGCCACCACTGCCCGGCAACCCTTTTTTAAAAAAGAAAGTGGTGAGAATATAATTCGGTTTGAGGAGAGCAAGTGGGGACAAGAGGTTTATTTATTTATTTTTTTCAGTAAAGTGAGAGAAGAAAAACTATTGATCATGGACTAGATCAAGAACACTTAATTAGGGGCTTGAGAGATGATTCAGTGGTTAAGAGTGCTCTTTGCTCTTCCCAGCACCCATGTCAGGCAGTTCATTACTGCCTGTAACTCCGGGTCCAGAAGATCAGACACACTCTTCTGGCTTCCAGGGACCTTACAAACATGTGGCATATACTCACATAGACACACACAAATAAGAAGCTGAAGAAGGAGGAGGAAGAAAAAGGAAGAGGAGGAAAAAGGAGGAAGAGGAGGAAGAGGAGGAGAAGGAGGAGGAGGAAAACTAGCAAGATGGCTCAAGTCTGACTGCTCCCCCTGCAAGTCTGACTACTACCACACGCTGAAGCAGGGGTCCCTCATCCCCAGAAACAATAATAGTGAATATATCTTTTGAAAGATCCTTAATCTATTCTGCTCTAGTTAGTGTATTGGAGACAGGTGTGAAAGAAGGGCTGGCTTTAATGTGTTCCAGACAAGTGTGTCAAGAGAAATGGACTAAAAAAGCAAGCATAAATAGGTTCATCTTAGATTCAGGACATTTCTAGAAACAGCAGCTAAAATTAAGCCACTTAAAGGGGCCAGTCTTTTTGCTTTGGATTTCAGTTTCTTTGGAATCATGGTGGAAAATGCCAAAGCAGCTGAAAGACAGGAAGCATGTGTACTTATAGGGCAGGGACAGTGGGTTGTGACTGGTCTCTTGTAGCCCAGGCTCACAATGGAGCTGAGGCTGGCCTTGAACTCTGATCCTTGAACTCTTCACCTCCCAAGTATTAGGGTTACAGGTGTGCACCACCATGACAGGCTTTTATTCTCATTTAATGAATGACATCTCCCTTCTGGTTGGTGTTTAATGATGATCACTAAAAATACTGTCGTTCTCCTCTCTTTAGCTAGAATGGGTACTAGGAAAAAGGTTCAAGCATTTGTCCGCGTCAAGCCCACTGATGACTTTGCTCATGAAATGATCAAATATGGAGAAGACAACAAAGTAAGTGCAGTGTGTTTGCCTTCGCTTGTCCAGTCCTTTTTCAATTCGGTGTGCCCTTGTTTTCACAAAGCCATGTAAGGACCAAAATAGAGGGACTGGCAAGAGAGCTCAGTGGATGTGGATGCCCGCCAGCATGCCTGAGGGCCTCAGGACTACCCCATCTATCCGAATGGTAGGGGGAGGGAACCAACTCCTGAAAGTTGTCGTTCAAATTCCATGCACATGCTATTGTGTACACATTTACACACACACACACACACACACACACACACACAATTTTCATCAAAAGGGCTAAGACAGAATTGATAAGTCTTCATGTAACTCTAGAGTCAGTTGATCAACTCCAAACCCGGCTGTTAGTGAGGACGTGATTGAGATTCTCACTGTTTTCCTTTTATGTGTTCATATGGTGGGTGGGGCACACGCGTGTGCTCCTGCACAGGTGTGGAAGTCAGAGAGCAACTTGCAGATCTGTAGAGTAGTTTTTCTTCTCCTACTTCCGTGGGTCCTGAGGAATCAAACTTGGGTTGCCAGGCTTGGTAGCAGGCATCTTTCCTCAGTGAGTCATCTTGCCAGCCCTCAGATATTGTAAATAAATAGTTGAAGAACAAACTGCTCCAGTGTTGCAGGTTGTGGTAGTCAGAAAAGAGCTCAAGGATGGCACTGTGTAATGTGCTCTATGGCATGACTTAAACAAACATGGAAGCATAGAGCATGACATTTGTTCAGCAACAGTTACTATGGGGTACTCATTTGTTTTGATTTTGTTGGAAGTGGGGTCTCACATAATCCAGCTGGCTTTTGAACTGGCTGCTTAACAGAGGGTAACTATGATCCTTTTGCTTTAACTTCCCAAGTGCTGGGATTGTACCTACATGTCACCGAACCTGATAACCCTGTCTTGGCCTTAGTTTTGTTTTTCTATGGACAGCTAGGTCTTGGTTCTTAGATTATAGTAGCCAGTAGAAGATTTCAGTGAAAGCCCCATCAAGAGCTTGGGGAATAAGTTTGATATGGTGCTATACTGTCATCTGAACAGTTGGGAGACCAAGAGGAAAAATCCAAATACCTAAATTCAAAGCAAGCCTTCGTATCACAAAAGTGACTTTAAAAAAGGCGGGGGGGGGGCTTGGAATCCTGTTGGGAAATGGTTGAAGGAGCATTTGAAATTTTGCTGATCACAAGTGGGTTGGGAACCCTCCATTTATTTACATTAGTACAAGTGACTAATTGTATCTGAACACTTCAGGGACTTCATGTTATCATTCTATCATTGCTCCCAGTGGCTCACAGCTGAGGGAGTAAACGCCGGCCATAGCGCAGAGAATGGAGAGGCCTCACATATGTAGACACACAGACAGGGCCTGCCTGGGCCACTGTTTCCGGTTTCCCTGTTACTCTTGCCTAACTCACGGCTCAGTAGTTAAGAGCACGCAATGCTCTCCCAGAGGACTGTACTTAGTACCCAGTACCCACAGGCAGTTCACAATCATATGTAGCTCCAGTTCCAGGGGACCTGACACCCTTTTCTGGTCTCTGCAGGTACCAGGGATACATGCAGTACACGCACATACATTCATGAAAACATTCATAAGTGTAAAAAACAAAGTAAATTTAAAAAGTTTTTTAAGCCGGGCGGTGGTGGCGCACACCTTTAATCCCAGCACTTGGGAGGCAGAGGCAGGCAGATTTCTGAGTTCGAGGCCAGCCTGGTCTACAGAGTGAGTTCCAGGACAGCCAGGGGATACACAGAGAAACCCTGTCTCGAAAAACCAAAAATAAAAAAATAAAAAAAAATAAAAATAAAAAGTTTTTTAAAACTTCACATCCTCTGTTGTTTCTAAGTTGGGCCTCACTGATCAGTGATTATTTATTTATTTATTTATTTATTTATTTATTTATTTTATACAGTCTCCCTCTGTAGCCCTAGCTGTCCTGGAACACTCTATGTAGACCAGGCTGAACTCACAGAGATCTACCTGCACCTGCCTCCTGAGTGCTATCAGTGATTCTTTTTACAAAGCCTTCCTAAAAGTAACTCCAACCCCCTCTTATTTTTTGTGACATTTCACACATGTTCCCCACACTGGCCTGAAACTCCAGAGCCTCCTGACACAGCTGTCTGGGGATCTGGATTCACTGGGTTCAGGTGTGTCTCACCCATACCTGGTCTCTCTCCCTCTCCCCCGCCCCCCCCCCCCCGCCCCCCCCCCCCCCCCCCCGCCCTCCCCCTCCCCCCCTCCCTCCCCTCCTCTCCCTCCCCCTCTCCCTCTCTCTCTAGAGCATTGATATTCACTTGAAAAAAGACACTCGGAGAGGAGTTGTCAATAACCAGCAGACAGACTGGTCATTCAAGCTGGATGGAGTTCTCCATGATGCCTCCCAGGATTTGGTTTATGAAACAGTTGCCAAGGATGCAGTGTCTCAAGCCCTTGATGGATACAACGGTAATTTAATTCATTGTCATTTTGTCTAGGACTCTGAGGAGGCCCTCTTGGAGGAAGAGGTACAAGAGGTACTCTATCCTTTAGTACAAAACCAAACAAAAAACTTCACTTACTAACATTGTAAACTTACTTGTTAGCCTGTGATCTAGTGATAGAACATATATTCACTTCACGATGTTGCAGGCATGGCTTTATCCAGTCTCTAAGACATTGCCTTTATTGGATTGTTAGAAGACCTTGGCTTTTTTTAAATCATTAATTAATTTATTTATTCACTTTACACCCTGTTTGAACCCTCCCCATCCCTCCACTCCTCCTAGTCCCACCCTCACACCTCCTCCCCCAACTCCCCCTGCCCTTCTCCTCACAGAAGGGGAGGCTCCCACCATGGGTACCAACCCACTTGGCACATCAAGTCACAGCAGGACTAAGTGCATTCTTTGCCACTAAGGCCAGATAAGGCAGCCCAGCTAGGGAAGGGATCCAGAGACAGGCAACAGAGTCAGAGACAGCCCCCCTCCCCCGCTCCAGTTGTTAGGGGACCTTCATGAAGTCCAAGCTACACATCTGCTCCATATGCTCTTTGGTTGGTGGTTCAGTCTCTGAGTCCCCATGGACCCAGGTTAGTTGACTCTTTAGGTCTTCTTGTGGTGCCCTTGACCTCTCCAAGTCACTCAATTCTTCTCCCCACTCTTCCACAAGACTCCCCAATCTCCACTTAATGTTTGGCTGTGGTCTCTGCATCTGTTTCCATCAGCTGCTGGATGAAGCCTCGCAGATGACAGTTATCCTAGGCTCCTGTCTGCAGCCACAGCAGAGCATCATTAATAGTGTCAGGGGTTGCTTCTCTCCCATGGGGTGAAGACTGGATTTTCATGAGTCTTAAATAGTCAAATAAAGGCTTGTTTCAAGTCTCTCAAACATTGGCTTTGTGTGTGTGTGTGTTTGTCCAAATCTCAGTCTCACTATGCAGCCCTGACTGGCTTAGAACTCACTATGTAGACCAGGCTGGCTTAAAGCTCTCAGAAATCTGTGTACCTCTGGAGTGCCACCACCACCTGGATTTTTTTTTTAGATTAAATTTTTCTTTGTTTGTTTGTTTTTAAGACAGTATTTCACTATGTAGCTCTGGCTGTCCTGGAACTTGTTCTATAGACCCGGATGACCTGGAACTCATAGAGATCAGCTTGCCTCTGCCTCCCAAGTGCTGGGATAAAGGGTGTGTGCCACCACCACATGGCCCTACATGTGGTTTTTAAAAGAAATCTTTAAAAGTAGATAGGGCGGGAGAAATGACGCATCAGTTAAGTGCATTGGCTGCTTACTCTTCCAAAGGACCCAGGTTCAATTCCTAGCACCCACAAGGCAGCTCACAATCATCTGTAACTCCAGTTCCAAGGGGATCCTCTTCTGGACAATTTGGACACCAGGCACTCACATGATCCACAGACATACATGCAGGCAAAACAGCCATGCATTTAAACATAACTTTAAAACAAAACAAACCCAAGCACCTTTTCAGTCTGACTTAGTAGCACATTACTATAATCTCAGTGCTTAGAAGCAGAGGCAGGAGGATCAGGAGTTCAACGTCATCCTCAGCTACCTACCAGTTAGATGTCCGCCTGAGCTACATGTGGCACTATCTAAAAATAAATAAAGCTTAAAAAATAAAAATAAAGTTGCAGTCTGAAGACTGCCATCTGATGGCTGCTGATCAGAATGTTCTCTATTTTGCAAGGCTTCTGTTTGTCGGTTAGTTGCTTGGTACTGGGTATCAAACCCGGAGTCTCACAAATACTAAGCACATGTTCTAGCACCATGCTACATATATAGTCCAAAATTGTTAGGCTTCTCTATAGGAAAGCCCACTAAGGGAGTCAGGCATGGTTGTGCATGCTTTCACACCCAGCACTTGGGCGGTAGAGGCAAGATGATGAGGAATTTGAGAACAGTTTGGATTATATAGCTAGCCTCTGCTTTAGGAAAATCCAGTGAATCTTGAGTTCCCAAAAGTGTAACGTATTCTTCCTGTGATATGTAGGTGTGGTCCCCACTGACCGTGAGAGGCTCTATAGCCTGGAGATAAAGATGGGGGGATTAAGAACTGGGGAACTTAGTAGTCTTAGGCACTTGTGCTGCAGACTTACAGATGGGCTCTGAATCCCAGCTGAGGTGAGTTCTGGCTCACTGGCGGTGAGCTAGTTACTAATTGTTTCTGGCTTCAACGCAGATGCTGAATTAGGGCCACTCATCTAAAACCTGACGCTGATCCCAGCATCTGGGAAACAAAGGCAAACAGACTTCCAGGCCCTAGTGTAGCCTCACCAGGTCTGCCATGTAGATTCACAGAAGCAATGTTTGGAGATCCTGCAATTCAAGAGGAGGGAGGAATAAGAGCCCAAAGTGAAAACAGTTTGTGTCCCAGAGCCTGATGATGATGACGTTGATGATGGTGATGGCGATGGTGGTGATGATGATGACAATGGTGATGGTGATGATGATGATGACAGTGATGATGATGGTGATGGTGATGGCGATGATGGTGATGGTGATGATGATGGTGATGGTGATGATGATGGTGATGGTGATGATGGTGATGATGTAAAAAGGTGCAAATGAGAGTATTCCCAGGGTAGGCAGTCGGACACAGGTCATGGCCCAGTTGTGGTGATCCATTTCTGGAAATGGCATGGTACTAACTTGGAGCCTTGCAGTCTGTCTACAGATAATTCTTTTAGCAAGACATAGGGCCACAGGCTGGCTCTTACAGCATCTGGGCAGTGGAAGCAGGTAGATCAGGAGTTCAAGTCATTCTGGACTACATAGCTTGAAGCCAACATGAGCTCCACGAGACCATGTTTCAAACAAATCAACCAAAAAGCCCACCATCGACCCTTCTTTCTCTATCTCTTTCTGGAGATTTGTCTCTGTGGGGCGTTTCCTGCTAGCTCTCAGACACATGCAGTTCTTGGCCTTGAGAAGGACTGGAGTCTAATAATCCAGCTCCCTCCTATTCTTTTCAAGAAAAGTTGCAGCCACAATGTTGCCTAGCCCTAGGACCAGGGACCTAGATCCTCTGGGAACAGAGAGGCAGAGAGGTCTGTGTGGATCGCACCTTAATGGTGCACACTGAGGTTTTCACTGTCTATGTCACTGTGCCTCTGTGTACTTGCTCTCTTCCAAGGTGGAATCCCGGATGTCTTTGGATGTTTCTGGTGGCTACCTTCACACCAAGATCCTGGATGGTACCAAGCATGTTGAGGATATGAGGGTTTGTCCAGGGAGGGATTTTTCTGAATGCCACTCAGTCATATTTTGAAATGTCCGCAGGTACCATCATGTGTTACGGGCAGACAGGAGCTGGCAAGACATACACCATGACAGGTGCAACGGAGAATTACAAGCACCGGGGCATTCTCCCACGTGCCCTACAGCAGGTAGAGAATGGGCCTATGGTTGGGATGCCAAAGAGCTACCCTCTTCTCTACCATAGATGCAGCCAACTCCATGTTTACCTACAGAGACAGTGTGTCCAGCCCTCAAGTGAACTACAGCCAGCACTGGTTCTGGAGACAGGGTGTTATGACTGGCCTGGAGTAGAGTCAGAGTCCCAAGGAAACTCAGGCTTTGATTTTCAGACTGACCCTGGATGCCAATAAGCCTGTTTCCTTATTTGTGAAGGAGGGAACAGGCATGCCAGTCAGGTTCCTGCTGCTCCTGTGCTCTGTGGTCCTATAAGGAAGGATTTAGAGGTCTTTGCTGGTTTTAGTGAAGAGAATATAACACTTTCAGAACTTTCTTATTGTCCTACTGTGACTTCTTGCATTCAGTAACTCCTGGAGGAACAAAGGCAAGAAGCAGGACGTGGCTGAGCCTTTAGGACTGTCAGCCATGACTCTGGGGAAATAAAACAAAATGGGACAGAAGGGACCTGCTAGCCCAGGTTTTAGTTAGAGGTAGGTTGCAAACAGCCTTTCTCCCAAAGCGTTTTGTGACTCTAAACCACGCATGCTCCATTTCCTTGAAGAAATATGCTTACTATCCCACTGTCAAAATATCGACCTCTCAAGGCTGAGGATGTAGCTCAGAGCTTGCCTAGCATGCTCAAAGCCCTGGATTTGATCCCCAGCGATGAAAACAAATGCACAGCAGCATGTGTTTGTGCTCAGGAAGTGGAGGCAAGAGGGTCAGAAGTTCAAGATCATCTTTGCTTACATTGAGAATCCCTGAGCAACCTGGGTGACATGAGACCCTATCTCTAAACTAGCTGGGCATGATGGGCACACTTGTAGTCCCAGTTCTTGGGAAGACTGAAACAAGAAGATGGTAAATTGGATTAAATAACTGGGATACATTTTAAATTCCAGCCAGATTGGGGCATAGTGTAGAACCTGCCTCCAAACAAACAAACAGACAAACAAACAAAACCCAACACAAACCAGGAAGACCCAAAAGTTGAGAATCTTACCTAGTAGACTATCAGTAATCATGACCATGATATCAACTGGACTGTAATCTCTTTAAAACAAAAATTGTCCTGTGCTCCCTGATGCTCTCTCCTGAGGGAAGCCGTGGGCTGACATGAAGTAGTCAGCCTCTTCTGCTCTTGGTGACTGGTCAAATTCCCATGTAGGTGTTTCGGATGATTGAAGAGCGTCCCACACATGCCATCACAGTCCGTGTTTCCTACCTGGAAATCTACAATGAGACCCTGTTTGATCTCCTGTCTACTCTGCCCTATGTGGGACCCTCAGTCACACCAATGACCATCGTGGAAAACCCTCAAGGGATCTTCATTAAAGGCTTGTCGGTGCATCTCACCAGTCAAGAGGAGGACGCCTTCAGCCTCCTCTTTGAGGTGAGATGAGAGGCTCCTCCCTCCCTCCTTTCCTTCACCTTTCCATCTCCCTTCCTTTCCTCCTTCCTTCTCTCCTTCCCTCCTTCCCTCCCTCCTTCTCTCCCTCCCTCCTTCCCTCTCTCCCTCCCTGTCTCCCTGTCTCCCTCCCTGTCTGTCTCCCTCCCTCCCTCCCTCCCTCCCTCCCTCCCTCCCTCCCTCCCTCCCTGCCTCCCTCCCTGCTTTCCCCTTCCCCCTTCCTTGCTTTCCTCTTTCCTACTTTTTATAGTTTTTTTATTTACCTTGATAATCAGAATGAAAAATTCATATGTGCTTATGTAGCAAACTTAGTGTTCAATAAGAAGAAAAAACTCATAAAGCATTTTTTATTTAAAAACAAAAACATATATTTTAGATTATGACCATCTATCTAGTCCTTTCTGTCTGTGAGATTTGTTTGTTTGTGGTCCTGGGGACTGAGCACAGGGCTTTATATGTGTGAGGCAGGTCCTCCGTCACTGAACGACATTCGCAGCCTCTTTTTACTTTTAAAAAACATTTTATCCAGGCATGATGGTGAATACCTTTGATCCCAGCACTCCAGAGACAGAGGCCTGTCTGATCTATAAAGTGAGTTCCAGGACAGCCAAGGCTGTTACACAGAGAAACCCCCGTCTTGAAAAACAAAAATATATACATACATACACACCCACCCACACCCACACCCACACCCACACCCACACACACAGAGAGAGAGAGAGAGAGAGAGAGAGAGAGAGAGAGAGAGAGAGAGAGAGTGCGCGCACGCGCGTGTACACAAGAGCAGTACCCTAGTACCCTAAGAGGCCAGAGATGTGAGATATCCATGGAGATGGAGTTTCTGGCAGTTGTGAGTCACCTGATGTGGGTATTAGGAGCTGAGTCAGTGCAGTGTTTTGTTTTTTTGTTTTTAATTTTTTTTTCAATTTCTATTAGAGTAAAAGAGGATTTCATGTATCTCAAGCTTACAACTCCCTAGGTAGCTGAGGACAATTTTGTCCTTTCCATCTTCCTGCTCAGGCTACAGGAGTATGGTACTATTCTCAGTTTATGTAGTACTGAACATCAAACCCAGGGCCTTGTGCATGCTAGGCAGATACCGCACCAGCAGAGCTCCATCCCCACACCCTTTATCAGTCTTTCCTTTCAGCTTCGCTTCCTCCATTTGTTCCCCCTTCTTGCTTCCCTCTTCCTTTCCTCTTTTTTCTTTTTCTTTTTTGTGCGATGGTTGTACCATATCATCCAAGGAGGCCTCAACACATATGCTTTTTTATTGTGTGTGACAAGAGTCCATGATTGGGAGAGGGGGAGGCCACAGAACAGTGTAATTTGTTCTCCTCTACTGTAATGTAAGTTCCACAGATGAGGTCCTTAGGCTGTGTAGCAAGCACCTTTATCTGTGGAGCCATCTCACCAGCCCTGAATCCACACTCCTATGGCCTCAGCCTCCTAGGTGGTGGGATTCTAGGCATGGATAACACACCCAGCCCCCTTTCTTCTTACAATGTGTGCTGCTGAGAGGATCAGTCTTCATGTAAGTTATTATTCCATCTCCCTGCAGCAGAAAGGAGAGGCCCAGGACATAGCAGGCAAGAGGTACGTTCTCTGCTACATGACTCGTGGCTTGCACGTAGCACTTGCCATGTGGAAGGACTGCATGCCCTAGCTTACACTGCCCACAGTGCCCTTAGTGCTGATGCTCTCATTATAATCATTTCCGTATCCATTTTTGGGACACAGAAACAGTCACAGATCAGTTCTCATGCCTCCCATGAGGACGTCTCTCAGGATTAAGAAGCACAGAGAAGGGAGATGTGCCCAGGTCTTGACTCTGAATCCTGTGCTCTGAATCCCGTGCTCTGACTACTGCGACCAGGTATCACCTGGGCAGCAAACTGGGGAAAACGCTTTCTCCAACTTTTGCATAAAAATGAGTCTTAGCTGGCTGAGATGGGACCCTTTTGAGCACATGAGGCAGGAGGATCATCATATATCTGAAACCAGCCATCCTTGGCTATAGTGTGAGACTCCTTCTCAGCCTCCCCCAGTCTCACCTAAAAGGCAAATTTAAGATTTCTGTAGCTTGAGTGGTAGCTGCAGGTCAAAGAGTCAGAGGTATCACAGAAGTACAGCCGGTGAGCACAGCGGTGCCCTAGTGCTGCCAGGGCTGGCCCAGTGCTTCCTATAACCCTACTATAACAGGGCTGGAACATTGGAAGGAACTCAGTGAGGTGGAAACACTGGGGGTGCTATGAGGATGAGTCATAACACTGGGGCATGGCCCTGACCTGAACCCTCAGGTTTCCCACAGATTACCCAACTGCTGCATTGGCAACAGTGCAGTGGAGAGCACTGGTAGCTCAGGTATCATGGGAGAACAGGGAGGCCATGTTGTGCCCTCTGTCTACCAAGGAGCCTAGGGGCCAAGGAGACAGAGAAGAGAGCTCTCACCTGTACTGGTCTTTCAGCGTCTTTTTAGTCTTAGGTTTCTTCCCAGGTTTGACAGAGAAAGGAGCAACCCCAAGTCCAAAGCTTTGTCCATCGGGCTCACCTACTAGCTGAACTTCTACATCCATAAGCCCCGCCTGGATAGAGAGAGCAGGACAAGGGGCATACGTTCTATTAGAGGTTTGGGCCTCTACGGAATGCAGGTGTTCGTGGTGTAAACCCTGGGGTAAGCGTGTTTTCCACACACACCAAGATTTGGCTGTTTCTACCAGCTTCATGCTGTCCTTAATAGAGCTGTCCCTGAACCCTAGAAAAATCCATGTCTACTTTCCATATTGGCCTCCTAATAATCCAACCTCCTGGGCTGAAATCAAAGGCATATGTTACCACATCCGTCTCCCTATAGATCTTAAAACCTATTTCCAACCTAGCTCTAAGTATTGGTCATCTATAGCTTAAGCCATACGTACAATTTATGGACATTATTTTAAATGCAAAAGAGGTATACTATTTTTTCTGTGTATGTATGTATGTATGTATGTATGTATGTATGTATGT